CTCTCTCATTCACAGTTTCAGGACGGATCTTTGGGTTCCCAATAAGTATTTTACCGTCTTGTTCTGTCCACACATCGCCGCCATGTGAAAGAATGTTACGACCTTTATTGTTGAGCCAAAGTCCAATCTCAAACCATTCTAGTTTGAGAAATTTTATGACCACCTTAACATGACCCATTTTGCAGGCAAGATGAATTGGAAGATTGCCCTCTGAGTTTCGTTGAAAAGCAATCATCTTTGACTTGTCTAACATTATAAAAACTCCTTCCACATAACCAGCATGTGCTTCTTGATGAAGGGGGGTGTTTACCTTCTTATCTCTCTGATACGTTAGTTCTTCTTTCAGATTCACTATCTTTTGCAATAGATCTGCACTTAAAAAACAAGCATATATATAAAAAGTCAAAGAGAAGCAAACACAAAAGCAGTAGGCTAATTAATTAATTAATAAATACATACAAACCAGGTTTTCGTATTGATATGGCGGCATGAAGTGGAGAGTCTCCATTTGAAATGTCATTGACTGAGCTGAATGGAATTTGCAAGATACGTTCAAGAACTTCCATGTTCTCTGTCTGGGCTGCCAAATACATTGGTGATTTACAGCACCATGCATGCATGGAATTCCAAGTCCAATAGCAAGCCTGTGTTCCCAAAAAGGACATTAACTCCCTCAAGGTTCTTGGACAGAATGGATTCGTGCAAAGCTGTGTTCCCAAAATTATTCTGTGATGTTGTAAATTTCCCTATATCATTCAATTCAATCAACCTAGATGGAATGAGCCCTCTACATTTGGACAGAATGACATTCATTGCTTCAATATTCTTAGCCCCGGCAGCAACATGGAGTGGACTGTCTCCTTTCCTGTTTCTCTAATTCAAAAGCACAGGAAAGTGTTGACTACAACTTCTGCTTTCCCGAATTCAGCAGCAACATGGAGATGTAAAATTTCAGTCAACCCCTCAAAAAATATAAAATTTCACTGTACATTTGAGGAATTGAGATGAAATTAAAGAGATGACTCAAATAACTTTATTATCTTTGGTAAAGCTAGGCGCATAAACAACTCGTATAGATAAATTGAACAATTGATGTATGAAAATGAATAATTAACATAAGTGAAATTTGTAACTCTTATTAACTACATAATATCACTATGAATTTGTAATTCTTATTTCACCCATGTAAGTTATTCATTTTTCATAGAAAATAATTTTATTTATATTCAATTTTTATTGGTCCTTTTCTGTAAATTTTAAATTTATTTTTTAGTCAAATAACAATCAAAGTTAACTTTTGTTAATAATAAAGGCCAAATTGTATTATTTTTAAAAGTTGAGGGAATAATTAAAGTTCAGAGGTAATTTGTTCATTTGCTTTATTATTTTTATCATTTATTATTCTTATACTCAAGTTCAACTTAATTATTGTACCACAAGTATTTGTGTTCAGTAATGATAAAATTAATTTTTTAAGTCACTAAATAATTTAAATTTTGAAAGCCATAATTCAAGTTAAGACTCGTTAGCATAAGCTTATGATTAACTGGGTGCATAATTTCATAAAAAGGTTATATTTTATGTTTAGGATGAAATTAATACAAACAATAAATGGTACGACCTCTGTCTCTAATTATACAACATTTTTAAGAAAAATTGGGCATTCTAAAATATAAGATACTTGGACAAAAATAAAATTCTATTAATGATATTTTTTTAATCTTATTGTTCCCATTATATTCTTTCTCTTCAATATTCTTTAACAAATAGAGTATTAAATAAAGGGCAAGCATTTTAAAAAATTTATATTTTGTTTTTAAAAAATGTAAATTATATTTAAAGAGCTTTATTGATATATATAATTTTATCTAAAAATATCTTATAAATTGAGATAGAGGGAGTATTTATAATAGAAAATCTTATTTTATTGAATGAGCATGAGGTTATTTATTTTTATTTCCCTTTATGCAAGGAGAAGTTCTCATTCTCAACCTCCATGTGGCCTAAAACAGAGGGGATTAAAAACAATTAGATAGAAGAGTGTGTGTGTGTGTGTGTGTGTGTTTTTTTTTTTTTTTTGGTGTTTAATTAGATAGGTGATATGTGTTGGGTGAGCGAGTGATGCATGTGTGGGATCCCTTCCCAGTGAAGAAGCCTTAGATAAGCTAGAGAAAAATTGTGTAGATAACTAAGTTTGTGTGTGGAAAGAATTTAATTAGAAAATATTTTTCATATTTTTCCTTTGCATATATTCTTATAGGAATCAATCACGGCGAGTAGAGAATATTCCTAGTCTTACAAAATGAATATATATATATATATATATATATATTTAATATCAATTTGAAAATTTACAAATGCATTAAGTGTATTAATTGTAAATAAGATTTAAAATTTTAAATGCAACTTTTAATTTGTTATTGGGATTCTTATTTATAATTATCTAGATTAATATTTATAACTTATTTTTTAAAATTTTTTATCAAGAACCTAACTATCATTAATTTTTTTTAAGAACTTTATTTTTATTCTCTTAGTTGTTATCAATAGTTAGTTGTTCTAATGACACATAAAAAGGTTAAGTTAGGAGCAAAATTTAAAAAAAAATGTTAGTATTGGTTGGGAATACCAATGGAAAAATATCATTCAAGGACCATCGATGATATTTAATATCAAACAAGAACTAAAAAATTTTGAAATATTACTGTAGGATCAGAGGAATGATTTAAAAATAATTTTAAATAGGAAAATACTATAATACCCCTTTTTTCTTTTTAATTAACAAGTAACTATTCACTAATTGAAATTTAAAAAGTTTAAAAATATGAAAGAACTTGATTGTTAAAAAAAGATAAGTGTAGATTATATTTTAACAAGTAGCTATTCATTAAGTAATAAGTATTCATTCGTATTTAATAAGAAGTTATATGCTAATTAATTAGTTTAAAAAAATTGGAGTATTATAATCTATTCCCATCTAAAATTATTTCAAATCATTTCCCTAATTCTACAGTGATATTGAATAATTTTTTAATTCTTATTTGATATTAAATATCTTCGACAGTCCTTGAATGATATTTTTTCAATAACAATTTTCTCATTCTTGACCATAACTTTGGGCGAATGTATTGACCCCCCCCCCTTTTTTTAAGCATTAATGTATTGTCCTCGTTTGTTTTTTCCCCACCATGTTTTTCCCATTCATACTTTGCATAGTTGAGTATTAAGTAATGTCTATTTTAAACGCCCCCCATCCCCCCCACCAACCAAAAAAAAAAAAAAGGATCGTCTCTATATATATTCCACAAACTCAAAAGAACTTTCTCTTCCCTTTACGGATTTGGATTCAGTGAGTCATAATAAAAACATATTTCATGTAATAAGTTTTTATTTGCGAAACTTTTAGTTCGCTATCTTTCTTGACTAATAAGAGATGCAATAATAATTATGGGCTTTTTTAAGAAAAAAATGTTTTGAGAAAAAAGGGCAACCACATAACATAATATGCAACGATGATAAAACTAGCAATGTTTATCATCGATGGAAAAAAATTCATTTCGTAAAAACCACTCCTCAGATTTTATTTATAAGTTAATTTTTACATTTTTATTGAAATTAAGAAAAATTTTAAAATACATATTAAATATACATATTTTAATGATGTATTTTCTTTTGCTAAAATTTAAAGGAGATAAATGACAAATTTATGATAAAAATTTAATGACTTGAGTTGTAAATAGGATAAAAAATTATTTTCTCTTTCCTTTATAAAAAATGATAGGATGAATTATATAATTTTTTTAGTCTAGTGAAATATGTAGGTATAAGCTTTGAAATAGTAAAGGTGTTAAAATTATGAAAGATAAGGAAGTAAATCATTTAGGGAGAATGATAGATATACCAAAAGAAAAAAAATAATGATAGTTAAGTTTTCAATAATTTTTTAAGAATAAATTATAAATATTGATTCAAATAATTATAAATTTAAAAGTTTTAACTGTAAATAAGATATTTAAATTTTAAATGTAATTTTCAATTTATTATTAGGATTCCTGTTAGTAACTATTTAATTTAATATATTAGAAATTTATTTAAAATTTTATTATAAATTTAACTGTTATTAAAATTTTATTAGAAATTTTATTATTAAAATTTATTAAAAATTTAACTGCTATTACTTTCTTCTTTTATAAATTTATCATCATTCTCCCAATCATTTAAAGGATGATAGTGATATTGCTTGGGAACAACAAATTCACGATTCTTTACTTTAGCTTTGGGCCAATATAGAATATATTGTCCTTGTCCAGCTTTTTTTTTTTCCATTTGTAGTTTCGCTTTATTCTTCTGCTCTATTTATTCTTTAGCCCACTCTCTATCCAATTTTTTTCCTTAGTACAAGGCACTTTGCTTTATTCTATCCAATTTTTTACCTTTAGTATGAGGCACTTTGCTTTATTCTCTAGTCAGCATCATTTCCTTACTTTTTTCTTCCTGAATTAACCACCATCTCTTGAAGTATAAGTAATGTCTATTTTGCGTCCAAAAGAAAAATTGCCAATATTTGTTCGACAATCTCACTTTCTTTCTCTGCCACAAAATTTGAATTTGATAAGTGGCCTAAAATAATTTTTGTAATAAAATATATTTTATGCAATAAGTTTCATTTGGAAAACTCTTGGTTCGCTATCTTTCTTGGCATTAGATATGCAATAATAGTTATTGGCCTTTTTTTAGAAAAAAAAAAGGTTTTGAAAAAAAGACAACCACATAACACAATGCATCCATAATAAAACTAGCTAAATTCATCGTTAATGCAAAAAATTTCATTTTGAAAAATCTACTCCTCGAGTTTTTTTCAAATAACAAAGGAAAATAAATGACACAGTACTAAGAACATCCCGCTAGCACAAGAATCAAGTTAGAAGAAGGAAAATTTAAAGGATGAAACCCAGCTGTGCACGATAGGACCTTCTTCATAATAAGGACATCTGTTGTTTCATTAGCATCTATAGAGATCCTTTGAATGTGTACTCATTGAGTCTTATTTATAAACTATTTTTAACATATTTTATTGAGATTGATAAAAAATTTAAAACTCATTAATTATTTCTAAAAATTTAATGGGTGTAAATGAAAATTTTAGGACAAAAATTTAACGATATAAGTTATAAATAAGACAAAAAACTAGCTTCTCTTTGCTTTAGATTTCTTCTTATCTTATTTATAAGTTACTTTCAATATTTTCATTGGAACCAAGAAATACATTAAACATTATTAACTTTGAATAAAAAATTAATAAATTTCTAACTTTACCCCTATTAAATATGTATACTTTAAACATAAAATAATTTGGCATTTAAAAACATTTCTAGTATTTAATAGGGACATAATAATCATTGAGGTATTCTATAAATAAAATTAAAACAAATTCTCTCTCACTACCCTATTAATAGGAATAAAAGAGTAAATAGGATAGGATGAGGTATATATACTTTTTATTTTATTTTAAGTGAGCATGTATAAGCTTTGAAAATAATAAAGGCATTATAAAATTATGACAGATGAGCATTAATTCTCCCTCTTTATACCC